CACCCCTCCAAACTCTATAGATGCTCAAGTCCCCCAAATAAAATGGCTTTGAATTTGCATATAAATTACTACACATCTTCCAATATATTTTAAATTATCTTTACATTACTTATAGTACATAATACAATGTAAATGCTCCATAAATAGTTGTCATGCTGTACTGTTCACCGAATAAGGATAAGAAAACAAGTTGGTACGGTTCAATACAGATGCAATTTTTTTTGTACTGGGGATTGAAGTCAGGGGCACTCAACCACTGAGCCACATCCCCAGTCCTATTTTGTATTTTATTTAGAGACAGGTCTCACTGAGTTGCTTAGTGCCTTGGTGTGGCTGATCTAGCTTTGAATTTGTGATGCTTCTGTCTCAGCCTTCTGAGCTACTGGGATTATAAACGTGTGCCACACCAAGCTCAAATATTTTTGATCTATAGTTGGTTGAATCTGCAATTGCAAAACCCACAGATATGGAGAGCCAACAATATGGACACCCTTTCTTTTAACATGTTGTTACTTTATTGGGCTTTATTCATGTGTGTGAAGTAGAGTAAAAATAAAATCCTCTCAATGTATTACAATTCTATCAGAAAACCACTGTGAAAGAAATAATTATATTTTCTTTTGTTATTGCTATTACTATTACTCTAACAAACACAATAAATGAAATACAATATCCCTGAGGTAAGCTTTGCCTTCCCCCACCTTAGATCTAAGCAAATTCTCCTGCATAATGTCATTATGCAGCTCCCTTTGCCAAACACAATGACCTTGTTTCCTCCCCATTGTCACAAGGGCCTCACAGCATTTGATATCACTGACCCCCGTCATTGCAACTTTCTCTGATTTAACTCCCATGACACCACTACTAACAGCTCTTGAGGTATTGCTGTGTATATTTGGGGTTTGTTTTTAGCACTTACAAGTATGGACTCACTTAATCCTCATGAGCAGCTACGTTTATTAGCTCAGTTTTACAAATGGGAAAATTGATGAACACATAGGTTAAGTTGCCCAAGATAACTCATCTGGTTAAGTAGCAGAGTCCAAATCTGAACTCGGCCAATTCCACTTGAAGACCATGTTCCTGTACCAAAGCTCATCATGTCCAAGCTGCCATGCCATGCCGAGTGACTACTTATGGGCCCTTTGCTCTTTTGTCATTGCTTTCTCTCATTTAGCACACCCGGAAAAGAAGCCTAGGATCTATTCTGCACAAAGTTCCTTCCTCCTAGACGTAAAAATCATTTTAATGTAGGGAAGGCTCAGCCTTTTTCTGAGAAAGCACAGAAATACTTGCCCCATGTTTAATAAATGCTATTATTTTATTACATGAGAATAGTACTTTTTACTTTTCAAGGGGCTTCCAGTACATATTTTTATTTGATCTTCACAATCAAGTTTATTCTATTTCTTCTGAACTTTTGATCTCCCTATTTTTTCAGGACACTAGCACTCTCCTGTACTCAAAATCAGAGCCATCTTTAATTCTTCTTTCTTCCCTAGTTTCCACAGTTTGATCCGCTGCCTGGTCCTATCGATTCCACTTCCACAGAGATTTTGAGCCTTTCTCCTTCTATTCATTTCCCCTGCTGTTAAAGTACCACTGTAAGAAACGTCATCCCACTTACTCCAAACCTTCAATGTTCCCTGCTCCCACAAAATTGCGTGCAATCTCTAGAAGCAAACATTAAGGTTTTTTTTCACAACCTATCTTCACCTTAGTTTTCAGCATTAACCTGAAACAGTGCACTATATGTCCTACGGTCATTCACATTAGAACAAATCAGACCCAATCTTTAAACAAAAGAGAGCCCTGTAGAGTTGCAGATTAAATAACACGTATTTTGTCTCCTAAGTGTCAGACTTCTCTTAACAAATGACTTCAGAATAATTTGACCCCAAAAGCCCTTAAAACATCTTGCAGCCATCCGCCGAAATGACTTCATTTATTAAAAAAAAAAAAAAAGAGCCTAATTCATGTGACTATCCTCCTCAGTCAAGTCTATAACGCACCCCCAAGTGCTGGCAGCAACGCTCCTCCTGTTCCACACTGTAGAAAAGGAAGCAGGGAGAGTGACGGGAAGTGGTAGGCCACTGAAATTATGAGAATCCTGTTTAAAAGTTCTCCTTTAAAAGAGATGGTTCTCAAAGAAGAGATAAGTGGGAGTCAGAAGGAACCAGTCATTACATCTTGGCTATAAACAATGTCTATAGCCTTGAAAGATGAAAACAGCGAGGACAGGTAGAAAGATTTTTTCTCAGGCTTTGATTTTCTAGAGAATTTACTTCTATGAATCATCTTGAAACCTAATTTTGGCAATAGTATTTAAAGTCTACATTTTAAAAAAAGTAAAAGTAACCTTATTCTCTGATTATATTTAGCCTGGGAGTTTGGCAACACGGCCAAGGCTCTGAAGGGCCCCAAGTGGCAGCGTACCATAATTGCAGGCTTGTACTTGACCCCTTGAAGGTTCTCCAACTTAATCCTGTCCTTGGTTCCAAAAGGTCACACTACTGCCTACATGGTGGTATTTCAGGATTCCATTAGGACTAACTTACTAATCACCTTTAAGAGATCCCTACTATCTGGCTTTAAGAGATCCCCACTATGATGCCTTATATTGTTCTTGTAGAGCTTTATTCCTTTTCACAAAAATCTTGGGATAGAGACAACCGATTATGTGTCATTTGCACCTTGAAGTAAAAGGTTATAGTTTGGTGTGGGTAAGATCATGGCTCTGCTGAGGAGGATTCTGACGGTAGAGATACACTCCAGGGCCTTCAGAAGAGAAGAGATCTTACGCTTCTTTCACTGGGAAGGGCTCAAAATGGAGAGGGTAGATGAACCAAAGGCAATTTTTGTTAATCTCAGTGTTTTCTTTTTATAAACCATGGTCAGCTTCAGGAAGAAGTAGCTTTGATGGAAGCTAAGACATGTTGATGATAAATGAAAAGCATCGGGAGTTGGACGGTTGGAGAGGTTGCAGGGACAGGAGTGACAGGGGAGACCAACCCTCCCAAGTCTCTACTTTTGACTGCTAGTGCTAGCAAGCCATTCTGCAATCGTCCTGAGAAATTGGTTTAGCCTAGTTCTCAGCACATGCCACTAAGGCTTTCTGCTTCTTTGCCTCGGGTTCTGAAGACCTCCATTACCTGGTTATAGTTTAACACATGCCAGTGGCTGATTTCTCTAACATTTTTTAGGAAAAAAAAATAAACAGGGTAAAAATTAAAACCCAGGAAATCAATCTAATGTTAATACTAAGGTCTTTTTTACTCTCCACAGCTTGTCTGGGAGAAGGTCCGTGAATGATGCTTCTTTTCTAAGAGGAGAAAGGAGATTGGAACAATGCCAAACCACAGAATTTTATCCTATCCCATCCCTGATTCCAACATTAACTCAGTTATGCAGATAACCAAAACCCCAAAAGATGCCTGCACTTCTAGTGGCTCATTCCAAGGCAGAAAAGTGTATATTTTATATATTTATTCACACACACAGACACACACACACACTTACTTTCCCTACATCAAAACCAGATGAATAGGATTATTTGCCAACACCTTAGGCTGTGAACCCAGCACTGTACTCAGCTGTGTGCCTTCACAGTAGAGCATGGCAAAGGATGTGCCTAGGTCAGTGAAATCTCAGACAACACTTTCCTTTTAGGAAGAAAATATGGAAACTTTCTAAACCCTACCTCTTCATAGAATTTCCACATTGATCTTTAAGGGGCTATTTGCAATCATCCTGAGGAAATAATTCAAGAAATTCTGAATTACCTCTCATTATCTTCTGATGCTCCTCTTCTGCTTTAAATGGGTAATTGTTGTGTTTCCAGAGGTAGAAACCTATTGTTCAAGTCAGCTTTCTCATGGCTGTGACTAAAAGACCTGACAGGAACAATTTTAGGGGAGGAAAAATTTATTTAGAATCTCACAGTTTAAGAGGTCTCTGATCATAGAAGACCGGTTCCGGAAAAGGCAGAACATCATGGCAGAAGTGTGTGGCAGAGGGAAGCAGCTCACAGGTTGATCAGGAAGCAGAGAGAGACTAAGCTCAGCTCACCAAATATATACCCCAAAGGCACACCCTCAATGACCCAACTCCTCCAGCCACACCCCACCTGCCTTCAGTTACCATTCAGTTCCTGAGTGGTATTAGGGAATTAATTCACTGATAGGGTTAAGGCTCTGATAACCCAATCATTTCTCCTCTAAACCTTCTTGCATTGTCTCACACAAGAGATTTGGGGGGACATTCTAACTCTAACACCTATCTAACACCTATTCTAACTCTAACACCTATTCTAACTCACATTCTAACTCTAACACCTATCTTCCACAGCCTGGCTCTGCAGTTAGTACTTGAAGCTGCACTCTCCGCCATAACCATCAGCCGCACGTGGCTCTCACAGTCTTGAAACAGCTGATCTGACTGAGGTATGCTTCGAGCCCAAAATAAATAGCAGATTTTTGAAGCCTCACTAAGAAACAACGAAAATATCTCATTATCATTTTTACATGTTCAGTGGTAATATTTTGAATGTAATAAATAAAATATATTATTATTTAATAATACATTATTAAAATCAATTTCATTTGTTTCTCCATTTTTAATTTGGCTCCTAGTTAACTTAAAGTGCCTTGCATTTTATTTCTACCTAGGTGTCTCATTCCTTGCTGCATATTAGAATCAGAGAGCTTTTGAAAAATCATCTGATGCCAGGGTCTCACCCCAGATGACTTAAGTCTGAATAACTGGGGTTGGGGCTCAACATTGGTATTCTTTCCTGTTTTGAAAGTTCCCCAGGTGACTCTAATGAACAGCCAACATCCAACAAGGAAAAAGACTGCTTCGAACTCTGGAATTCTCTAAGACTCTAATGACAACTCATGCAGGTTAAAAGTTCAGGGTTGTTTTCTCCCTTATTCTGTATAATCAACTTTGTTCTGATCTATTTCTCCCTAAAGAAACAGTGAAATGTTTTTCAAGTCATGCAAGTTAGAACTTTGTTTGTTTTATTTTTTAATGAAGTTCACATGAATCCAGGATGCTGCCAGGGCTGGAAAAAAACTGCATTGAATTTGGGATTTGAAGGTTGATGAGTAACATGTAATCCTTCCTCAGGCTTCTTCTTAGACTTGCTGTTTTTCTTCTTGGAGGCACCTGCTTTGTTCCTACTAATATTATGGAACGCATCACAGTGCTTCTCAGACTTTAAAGTGCCTGAGAATCACTTGGGGATACTGATTCAGTAAGTGGCCAAGATCCTGCCTTTCTAAGGAGTCCTGCTGATACCCATGCTGCTGGCCCATGGACTGCTTAGTGAGAAGCAAAGCATCACCACGGCTAAGGGAATTAGCTAAGGCTCACCTGGTAGGTGGAACTTGTGCACAGCCTCCCAGTCATGCAAAGAATGCCAAGAGCACAGACTCGGCTTTCTATAATGAACCCAGAGCAAACTTTTAAATGAAGACTGCATATTATAATAGGCATATTATACTTAGAGGTATGCTTTTCCTCCATGGGTAAACTGAGCTTCCTGAGAATGTGACACCGTGTTAATCTCAACTATTAGACCTGACGCCTAGCAGGCATTCTTTCTTCTATCCACAGGAGCTAAAAAGGAGCCTGAGTTCAAGAAGAACCTTGGAGCGGGACAAATGCCATTCACGCTTACCCAGACCTCCCTGTCTCCACCATCAGGAGTCGAGACAGTCCCATGCACACACCACTCCCTGCCCCTCATTACCACCCTCTGCCCTGGGTTCCTGAGGACTAACTGCATCTTGCTTTTTTATCCCTGTCTGTGTCTGTGGCCATAGGAAATCCAAATTCTCAGATTACCTTTCTCCTCCCACTCTCTGCCCCCCATTAGGCTTCACACATCCCTCATTCTGTCTCCATCTTCCCATTTCAAGACTCCTCCATGTGCCCTTTGTCTTCACAATCCTCTAGCCAAGTCCCTTCTCTCCGTCCTGAACCTTCCCTTCCCCTGGATCCCTGAGACACCACTGCCTAGGCAACCTGGTTCTGCACCAGTGATGCTTTTCCCTCATTCTTCCAACCCTTGGGCCTGGAGGCTGAATGATTTTGCCCTTGCCCACAAACACTGCTTCCATACCATTTACCCTCCTCCCTGGTTAAAAATCCTCTGCACTTCCTTCCACTCTCCTGGTAGCTATTCTCTACTCCCAGCTCATTGTTTGATTATTTCAGCTCCTGGCTCATTTGTTCTCCCCTATACTACTTTCTCTATTCTTATTGATTTCAATACATTTCAATACAGGGGTCCAACAACCTGTCCTCTTGGTCACATGAACTTCTCTTCTCCAACAATCTTGGAGGAGATTCTTACCCAGTGGTTCATGGGCCAGCAGCATAGGTATCACTAGGACTCCTTAGGAAAACAGGGTCATGGCCACTTACTAAATCAACATCTGCATTTTAACCAGATCCCCAGATGACTCTCAGGCACTTTCAAGTTTGAGGAGCACTGTGATGCATTCCATATTATTTAGTGACAAAGCAACCACCCATTACCAAGGAGATATCCTCCCAGACCAATAATTTCAGCATCTCCAATTTGGTAGAGGGAGAATAATTTTTAGAAAATATTATAAATCTGACTAAATAAGCACATTCTAGATGTATTTCATTGTTTTGTGCTACATCACACTTTTGGGTTGGGTGGAGAGATTCCATGTGATGGTGCAGGGGCGCAGGCTCCTTCTGGCCCGAGGTGTGGCCATTCCCTGGTCTCACAGTTCTTGGCTGGATTCTCTGCACTCCGCTGGAAGACAGAAAGGAGGGAGGAGATATGATTGCACGAGGGGACTTCTTATGTGCCAGGCCTAGAAACTGGGCACATCTCTTCCATCACATTCCTTTTGCCAGAACCAGTCATTGAACACATCTAACTTTAAAGAGAGATTTTTAAAAAAATGTAACTCAGCCATGCTTAGTGGAGAACAACCACACCATCCTTATTCTCATTTTTATTCAGTCTCTGGCCACTTTCCTCCCACTGGGACTTCCCCTATATTAATCCCACCACCTTTTTATGCCCCTTGCCCTCTTCGCTCTACAGCCCGCTTAAACGATCAGGTCAATTGTCACTATGACCCCTGAGCATCTGATCTCTATTCCCTCACCCCTCTCCAGTTTCTGTCACCTGCAACACCTCAATCCTGGTTAAACCAGCAAACTGAGCTTGCCTCTGAGCAGCTACATGTGGCTGGGGACAAACTCATAATGACACTCTCTGATCCCACTTTGTGTTCAAGGTGAACGTTGAAAAGCTCCTCCTGCTGCCAGGCAACCATGACCACGCCCCAATGGGTAGATCTCCCGCTGACCTGGCAGTCCACACAGTGCCTTATCCCTCCCTGGGCTTTTGATGTCATCTCCCCCTCCTTCCTTCCTGAACATGAGCTGGCTTATCATTTCACAGAGAAAACTGGAGCCAGCATCAGCAACCATATGTGCTGCCTCAATCTGATCCTACAGCTTCCTGTCAATGTGCCCAGCTAATGCCAAGCCCCCACTGCACGCAGACTTCATCCCCTCCCACCTACTCAAGGTTGTTGCTGCAGCAACTCTGCTGGCTTGTTCTCTTGTTCTCTCTCTCTCTCTCTCTCTCTCTCTCTCTCTCTCTCTCTCTCTCTCTCTC